ATAGAAAAAATTAACAAGAAAAAAGAAAAGAATTTTATAAATAAGAAAACTTATACTTTTCATTAAAAAAAGATTTTCTTAATGGTAATATATAGACATCCTTTAGCTTTGGCAAAACAAAAGATGTTTTATAGTGCATAGAAAAAATTAACAAGAAAAAAGAAAAGAATTTTATAAATAAGAAAACTTATACTTTTCATTAAAAAAAGATTTTTTAAACAAGAAAATAAAGTGAAAAATAAAACTATAATCAATATACTAATTGATTTAGATTAAAACTACTCATAGTAAGAAATAAAAGTTACTCTTCAGAAATATGGAAAAGCATTAAATATATATATATAATACTTTTGCTTTTAGAAAAGAATTAAAGTATGATTCATTCGATATAAATTTGAAGATCTGAATGATAGTTAGTTTATTTATATTAAAATAGAAATCTTCAGAACTATCTTTATTCAACATGAATTAGACAATTATAAAATAGATAATATTCTCAAAAACTACAATATTCAGTTCTTATAATTATATAATATATATAATATCTGTACTATTCTCATAATAAGAACCATAAGACTATGACATATTATATATATATAAATATGTTTATACTTAAAAAAACAGGATATGCTGTTATATGCTTTACAATAATCAAAGATCTATATAAAGCCTTAAAGCAATATATTTTTATATATAGATGCAAAATTTACTGAAGTACAAAGAAACATTTTAAACAAGAAATAATATAATATAATAAAACTATTTAAATAAAAAATATTAATAATAATGAAGAGCTGGCTATATAAAAATGATACAAAACAAATCTTATTAAAGATAGCTTAATTAAATAGATCTTTAAAGTCTTTTAAGAATTAATGAATATACTGTATAATTTCCAAAGAAAATCTAGAAATAGAACTCCTAATTAGAAAAAAACTACAGTATATACAAATAAGAGAAGAAGAAAGCCTAACACTTATGATAAATTACAAAACCCTAAGGTAATAATATTTTTTAAACACTCTGCCACTGATAGTAACAGAAAGCCAATCAATTATCAAAGTAGAAGAAGACCTTCTAATAGATCAGAAAGCCCATATCTTGAGAATGAAAAGAAGCAAGACTTATTTTATCAAATTCTGTTGAATTTTAAAAAAATTGAACAACAGAATAATTCAAATTGAAAAAATAACATAAAGTTAATCTAGAATAAAAGAAAAAAGATAGAACCATTACTTCTAGAAGTAGTATTAGTTCAATAATAGTATATCAAGACTAAGTCAGATCCTCAGAAGTAATCTAGCTTATTCTGAAAAAAAGTACAAGAGTAATAGCTTCATCAAATATCAAGAATAAAAGTATAAAATTAGACTAAATTTCTCATAAGATCCATAAAGCATAAGCATATATAAAAAATCCTCACCACCAATGCGTATAAAAGTTCAAACACTTCGATAAATTTTTCGACTTCTTCAAAAGAAAATGGCATCGTAGCTGACTTGATTTGCGAAATGTTATAATAATGTCTCTTATCAAGACAAAGCTCACTCAATGTGATTCGATCACCTAAAGTAAATGACAAATAAGATTTATACTATTCAAAAGAAACCAATGCATATAATAAAGTAATTACATTACCAATACATTGCACCATGTATATACAAATATTCCTTACACTTTCTGCACTTTTGTCTAATAAGTCTAAGCAAAGCGACCAAGCCAAACATACCCTCTTTTATAAGTAAGTTTCTCCGTATCTTCTCTAACATGTTTTAAAATAGGATTCTCCGGCCCTCCTGATACTTCGATAAATATGATTTCTTTATTGCTAGAAACTTTAAAACCGATCCCGTCTACTTTATGTAGCGTCAAATCAAATTCTGGAAACAACACTTTTGCCTCTTTGATGTAGTCAGCTTGCACTTCTATCCAATCAAATGTTTATTCTCGATAAACAGATCGAATAGCTTTAAATAAAGGAACGATTCTATCAACTGTATATTTTCGTTCCCCGATATACCGATTTAAAGGTCCCTTAGTAGTCATGGAAAAGCTGTATTTGTGATGGTAAATTAGTTGTGCCAAAATTCTGGTAATATCCTTACAAATCGTAAAGGATGTTTTTGCAGACTTCCCGAAATGGATGGTCAGGATTTGGCGTACTCATAATAGCATTTCAAATGCATCTTTTTCTGACTAATTAATAAATATTCTTAATATATTTGACATAACATTTGAAAGAAAGTTATACTGTCTACCAATAGTACATCTACAAGCCAATTACGAATTCCTTTCGGAAAAGTATCGACCTTATCAGCTTTCATTATCACACATTGTTTGTCGACGTTTACTGAAAAATGTCTGACCAAATATTGCATAGTTTGGTCACAAAGTGTTGGTTTTTGTGGCGTGGTTAGGGTTATTTCGCGTGGTCTTGGAGGTGGTGTCTTAAACTGATAAATAACAATTACTTAGTAGGGAAAAATAGATTACATAAAAATCAAATTTAATCTCAACTTACACTATCATAACTAGGAACGATTGTAGAATGAGACTTTTCTGTATCATTTAAAATATTTGAAATTTTCATTACAGATGTATTTGTCTAAACGATATACTGCAGGTGCATTATTCACTTGATTATTATACTAAAAACAAAAAATAAATACATGATCTTTATAAAGAATGAGTTAACCTCAAAAAATCGACTTTGAGTCTGATCGCTATATTGGGTTTTGATTGTATTATCTCGAATAAGCTTAACTTGTTTTTCCAGTTGTTTATCTCGCATGTGCATATAGTCCAACTATGAATAACAAGAACAATGTCAATTTGCATATTTTTATGACTGAATAATGTCGCCGTAACAACAATGAAATTTACTCACATCAGAAGATTCTATTTGCCACAGTTTTCTCTTCCTTAGTACATCCGTATTATCGCGATTTCATTTACACTCGACGAATTTTTTTCGTTCTTAAAATGAAGAATTATTGATTAGTGTATCAATTTTACTTGGGCAAATAAACTAAAGGCCGAGCACTATTGAGAAATATCATTTGACTCGTGGTCAGAAACACCCTATAACACATGGTCAGCAGTGTCATGCTATTTTATGACTGTTGATAAATCACTACCGACTCTTGGTCATCACTGTGCAACTTCGTGGTCCCACTAGTGTGTAGCAACAATAACTCATGGTCTACCAAAAATCCTCAGATCTCTGGCTTATCAACAGCCTTTTTTTCAGAAAAAAATACAACCTGCCAACTTCTCAATATCTGCCTTGCCATTTCTCCTTTTTCTCCACATTGAAAAGAAATCTTTCTGATTATATCGATAAAAACGCTATGTTCATACGTTTTCTCTGTAAAGTCCGCAAAGTTTGATTTCCATTGGAGATATCCCAAAAGCGACCAGCATTTCGGATCAGTTTGGTTAAAGTAGTCCATTGCGTATACTGTATTTATTCACGAAAAGGCATAAGCAAAGAAAAATTTTAAGTGACGCGTCAGAGGCAACTTTTGTATTACGTGTATATCAGACAATCAGATATGCTGAACATTAGTACCAATTTTCACGTGATACTGCATATAAATAAAGCACATAACATGCCTGCCGGGATCCTAGGCCCCTTTACATGTAAAGTGATGGCAGTTCCTTTCCCTACTCCACACCATCTATCCATCTACCTATTTCATTTACTGTGCTAGCTTTACAATCACTACTTCTATTATACTGTAGATTGTCTAATATTCCCACCAAGCTCACGAATGCGCACTGCTACGGAAAAGCATATTTCATCAAAAGTGTAATTTCTTTCGGCCATGACCCTATCGAAAATTTCTTTAAAGCGGGAGCAAATTGTTAAGGTAATATCTGTATATTGAATTCGTTCAGATCCTGTAATCGAAAATAATGATTAGCAAATTTGGAGCTTCATTTCTCAATTATTTTTCCAATCTTTACCTGAAGAATGGACGGAGTGGGATTATGTTTCTTGATCGGATTTATGCTTTGGGTAAGTGTGTAGCGTTGATTAATTTCACTCTGAAGCGACGCGATGGTTTCGAATTCGGGTAAAATTATTATGTTAAGTTTCTAGAACTCGCTCGACTTCATTATATTTCCCAGTTATCATGTTAATGATATTCTGTACCTTCGTCCTTTTTTTTCTCAAGTTCGAAAAAAAGATAATGATATATTGTTAACTATAATAATCTGGCTTCGAGTGATGAAGTCACGATAAGGCAGGGCGTCACGGGAATTTATTTCGTTCTGATCTTGCCGATTTGTTCAGCGAAGTAGTGTTGATCTTGGTTTCACGAGAGTTTGTTTCATCAGCATTTTTTTGCTTTACGTCCTATAGGAAGAGTCATATGGTGATGAATCCTATACACGAATGAATATTTTCGGGGGTCATCTTCGTAACGACGAAAAATAAAGTAGCCGTTAAAGCCATAAAAGGCATATTTTCCAAAACGATTAATGGGCCCATTTATGCAAAGAATTCCCGATTAGAAAATTAATCGCGGGGACGTGCGGATATTCAGATTTAAAATAAGTGAAACCAAGTTCGATAAGTTTGTTAAATGCCACGTGCGCTTTGCAGAAGGGAAGACAGTAGAAAAATCGCATCTTTTATAGATAGGGCTATGTTTCGATCATCATTTATTTCATGTAAAGTGGAGAATATGCGAGAACGATTTTTAATTTGACAGCAAACGTAATTCTCTCAACGAGGAGACAGAGTCTCGAATTTTCAACTCATCATCTTTAGATTGCATGTTTAATGTCAGTTTATATAATTTTATTAAAAATGTTCGGAAGAATACTGTATACGTCTTGAAAATATTTTTTATTAATCTATGCCTTTAATTTCAAATAAAAATCACGTAACATCTTTATCTCAATAAAGAACTCGCTGATCACTTCTTGGCAAGAAATTTCATGATCAAAATATTGACAAAAAATTTATTAATATGTGTAAAAATAAATGCAAAGATCGGGACTTTTCCCGGGATACATTAAGTTTCTATACTAAGACCTATTTATCTGACTTCCCGGTAAGATCGCCCGTTGACCTTACCTTTTTGATTTCACTCAAAACTTTCACCTGCTTCTGTGCTTCCTCCAATATCCATACAATTTTCCCGAGGACCTTTTCTACCTTAGCTTGCAAATTCTCATCTTTGTACACAACGGTCACTGGTTCCGATAGATTAAACGATGGCTTCCCCTCGTTATCTAGCGAACATTCCATAAATGCATCGGTAACAATCCCAAATACCCCATCTACATTCTGTCCATTATCGATTTCATCTGCCTTGCGTTTACGTGACAAAGTTGATTCCATCTGCACAGACGCCTGGGCAAATCCCTTAATAAAATCTTCCTTCTTAACTTCAATTACACCAAGGACTCTACCCGTCGAACGACACTACTGCATAATCGAGGTTCACTTGTCCATTTCGACCCTCGATAATTTTTACGTGGCCGACCTCTAACTCTCAATATATTTGTTTTTAAAAAATATTAAAGTTATGATTATATCACTACGTGCCTGACATTT